GGCGCCCGCCCGCCGCCTGCTCTTTGCCCCTCCCGCGCCGCGGCCCCTACTTCGACCCTTTTTTCCACAATCGAAACATTTTCAAAAACATTTTTTCATCCTTCAGGCCCTAGAACAAACCCAGCCTCCTGTGCAACCGGACTTGGCCTTGTGAGACCCGCGATAAAGGAGCTGCGTCCGGAATCGGGGATCCCCAAGGCCTGCACCGCCTGCCTTGTCCCTGCCGTGCTCATCTTTGGGCTCCATCCGCCCTGCCTTCACTCTGAGTCTTGAACCCCAGCCTTTCCCTCCTTTCTGTCCAGGTCTACCCAATTTAGCATCGCAGGTCCTCAGGTTCTAGGTCATCCCTCCCCCTTTTCCCATCGCTTCAGCCTCACTCAGCCTTTGGCCGACCTCTGCTAACATGGTCCAACCCCAGACGTCAAAAGCTGAAACCCCAGCCTCTGCTGCCTCCACCAATGCCCAAATGGATGACGTCATCGACACCCTAACGTCCCTGCGCCTCACCAACTCTGCGCTGAGGCGGGAGGCCTCCACCCTCCGGGCAGAGAAGGCCAATCTCACCAACATGCTGGAGAGCGTGATGGCAGAGCTGACCCTGTTACGCACCAGGGCTCGGATTCCGGGGGCGCTGCAGATCACCCCGCCCATCTCAGCAATTACCTCAAATGGGGCCCGACCAATGACCACGCCTCCAACCTCTCTGCCTGAGCCTTTTTCTGGAGACCCGGGCCAGCTAGCAGGGTTCTTGATGCAGATGGACAGGTTTATGATCTTCCAGGCCTCCCGCTTTCCTGGCGAGGCGGAGCGGGTGGCGTTCCTTGTGTCCCGGCTGACCGGGGAGGCAGAGAAGTGGGCGATCCCCCACATGCAACCTGACAGCCCCTTGCGAAACAACTATCAGGGGTTCCTGGCAGAGTTGCGGAGAACCTATAAGTCTCCGCTCCGGCACGCGCGGCGCGCGCAAATCAGGAAGACTTCTGCCTCCAATCGCGCAGTGCGGGAAAGGCAGATGCTGTGCCGCCAACTGGCCGCCACGGGCACGGGGCCCTGCCCGGTGCATCCAGCCTCCAGCGGGACTAGTCCAGCTCCGGCCCTGCCCACCCGAGCACGGAACCTCTAAGAACCGGCCACCGCCCTGGTCGCATCTGCAGCCACCAGGTAGCATACCCCCTTTGCCGCGCAGAAGAAATGCCCCTACAGCAGCGTCTCCTTGTTGGAAGACGCCCCTTTCTGCCTCTCCAGATCTGTTCCAGAAGATCTTCCTTCGTACTCTTGGGTGCCCTGTTACCCACCTCGCTCGCTGCCTAGTGTCCCCGCTAGATTTGTACCCACGCTTCAGTGCATGCATTTCCTCTCTCTCGCTTGCAACCCCGGCTCTTCTGGCGACCACAGCTCTGGTACTCAGTCACACCGACTCCACACTACTCTGGGGACCATTTGGGCTGACGACCCCTGCAGCCTGACTAGGTTCACAGATGCCCCCTATTCCTCCCTGTGCAGACCCCACGGCAGCTCCTCGCCGTGTTCCCTGTCCTCACTGATGACAGAAAGAAGCTCCTTTGGTCAGGCCAGCGGCTTGATGTGGGGACCTGGAAAGAGGAGTCTGGCTTCCCACCCATAGGTGATCAGCAGCTCTTCCAGGGCCCAGTGTAGCAGGCAGGGGCCTCGTCCCTGCTGGGGGCGTAGTTCTAGCATTGGGGCCAGCTTCACTCTGCGTGCAGTAGGCAGTCAGTACGCCCACTGTTCCCCCTGGAGAGGATGTGCTGGTAGCGGGGAGCTCCTGGAGGATGCACCTCCACTGATGCCTGGCGTTAGCTGCCAGTGTTCTAATGGCACCAGGAATTTCGGGGATCTGGAACTTGCCTGCCAAAGAAGGTCATCATGACTATGGACCTGGGCAGTTCCATCGAGCCGCTACAGGCAGCGCATTTGTTCACTGAGACCCATTGCAGGCCGAGGGGTGGACGCCAGTGGCTCCTTTTGCTGCCCTGGGCCTCCAGTAGGAATCACCACGAGCTACTAGCGTGCATCACCCTGTGCCATGGTGGCGGGCCTTGTCTGGTTTGAGACTTGTTCCCTCCTCCCGGTGACATGTGGCTTTCACATGAGCCCCTCGGCCACCCACACTGTCTCTAGGTTGCCAGAGCCTCCCCATAGCGTGCCCTCCCTGTGCGGGGCTGTCCGTCAGCTGCCCAGCCTTTGTCCAAGAAAACATGGACTCTGATAGCTGGAGGCACAGTTCCTCCAGGATGCACCCGTAAGCAGTTAAGGCTGGGGGTGCTGGCCTCTGGCCACCAGGGCTGTGTGGCATTTGTAAAGGAAAAGAGCTGCAGACGACCTCTGTCCTCGTGTGGTGACAGTGCAGAACCGGCACCTGTGTCCTAATTCTGAGGGACAAGTTACACCTCTTAGTGGTGGATGGCCTTGTGCTTCCTCGCGGGGAATGCCCAGAAATCACCTTCTAAATGAGACTTGGCCAAACCCTTTGGATGGTGATGCTCCCGCCATATTTCAATGTCAAATGAACTGCATTTCCGTGACCACCTGGACAATGAGGAGGAAGGGGTGTATGACCGTGGGCTCATCCGCCCCATCCCTGATGGTCCTGGCTTGACTGCGGAAGGACAGACTCTGCACCCACCCAAAGACATGTCTGGGGATGCCCAGGGCTTGGGTCCGAGGACCCATGCTTACTTCCCTAAGAGTTTTGACGATGCTGGGAAAAGTGACTGCGTTCCTGAAGTGACCACTGCCTTGCAAGGTCAAGGATATTCAGTGGTTGCTGGTATTCGTGGCTCACTGTCACCCGCTAATTGTAAACTCTGTTAGCCCGCTCGCCCGGCTGAACAACTGCCTGAATACAGGCCACGGGTCCCCCCTGCACTCCAGCCAAGGCTGTTCAGGTGGGACCATGGTGCTCCTCAATCATGAGTGGGGGAGGGCGCAGTGGGGTCACTGGGGGTGGGACCACCAAGGGGGGCTGTGCGGGGCACTTTCTATTTGTGCTCTGTTTTCTCGTCTGCCTGCCAGGTGGAGGTGGCCACAGATGCAGGGGACAGTGGCGCCTGGGGAAAAGGAAGCTGCAATGCTAATTGTCACCTTGGAGATTCCCACGCGGCCCAGCCCAGCCAGGGTTAGGGGACCCCCTGTGGGAGCAGGGCAGGGACTCTGCCGTCTCAGCGACCCCTGGGTGTACCCAGGCGGTTTGTAGAAATGCTGTGTCTGCGTTAGGCTCTGGTTTCTGTCATGTTGCTTACCGGGGCCAGAGCCAGTGGGCCGGGGCTGGCCATGCCACCTGCCGGTCCTCAGCCGTGACCTGGCCCTTCGCATGTGGGTTGTCACGCCTATCCTGGGCTGCAGCTCTGGCTTTATTTGGCTTGGTGATTTGGTTGTGTTTTGTCTTGGCGCCTATGTTTGTGGGCTTAGGACTGGAGCTGTTGTACATCTGTGCCCTTGACCGCTGCCTGCAACTTTGGAAAGGAGCAGATGAGCCAGGCTCAGGGTGTGGCCCCCACACTGGACTCGGAAGAAGCTCCACCCAGGCAGGCCACTGGCTCCAGTAGAAGACACCCAGTCCCCAGCTCAGCAGGGTGGGACCGGAGCTCCATGCGGCCCAGATGGAGGCCACGGTGACTGGGAGGGTGAAGCCGAAGAAGGAAGTGGGGGAGGGGAGCTGCCTTGTACATACTTCGGGGTTATAATGTCTCTCAATTTAAGGGAACAGGTATCGGTTTCTAAAAGGCACAGGCAGGAGCGTTCAGCTGCGTGTGAGGGACAGTTTTGTGTTGTCCGTGGTGTTGAGATTGGCTGCATTGTGACCGCTTCCTGGTCCCCACCATACCCATGTGGTAAGTAAGCTTCATTGCGTAACAGGGCGTCATTTGAGGTGGGATTCAGAAAAAGGGGTGACTTCCTGGCCCGATAGCAGTGTGACCTTGGGATTGACTGGGTGTCCTAAAGTACTCAATGACTTCTAGGAAAAAGCAAGCAAAGACCCATTTTGTTGGTCTCAGGTAAGTCTCCGCAGAGTCAGTCAGAACGAGGAATGCCCATGAGGGTGCAGGTGAGACTTTCCTGATGCACGAGCTTCTGGCGTCAAGCGAGGCGGAACCAGCCCCTGGGTGACCACGGTCCCAGCAGTTAGGCCCGGAGGAGAGTGAACAGTTCTGGGGGGAGCTGGGCGTGTGCTTCAGGCCGCCTTAAGGGAGCAAGGCCTGCAGTTGTATAGAAGGACGCACGCTGCGGCCACCCAACGGGAGTGGAGCTTTTGGCGGGAAAAGGGACGCCATCCTTGCAGATGTTCCGTTTGCAGCCAGAGCTGCAAGACTGAGGTCACCTCTGCTCCGGAAGCATTAGATTAGGAGCCTAGAGACGGTGGCAGGAGGTAGGGCCCTGGGGGCGGAGGCACGGGGCAGACTGGGGGGCCAGTGCAGGGTGAAGGCGGGGTCCCCTGTCATCTCAGGGTCACAACGCCTGGTGTGGTGGCGGTTGGCACAGCACAGACAGAGCAGAGACGGGAGGAACCCGGCTCCTCACTGCAATGACACCGCGTCAGCAAGTTATAACCTACTAGGTCTTCTCGGCAAACCTACTCATTGTGGACATTTTGGAAAAAGTAGAAGAAAGAGAAGAGTGAAATTTAACTTTTTGGTGTTTTTCCTTCCAGATTTCTCCCCTCCTATAGTATTACTAATTTTATTTTGAGATGGCCGTGTCCTTCCATCACGTCGGGGGACAGCGGTGGGGGATCACTTTGCTGTTACTAATTACTCACTGTTAGAAATTAATGAAGATCTTATTGCAAAAAGCTCTTTCCCAGTGTCCCATTATGTCTTTCGGGTAGATTCTCAGAGGTGGGACTATCGAATTAAAATATATGAAATATGAAAACCGTTAAGGCTCTTACTATGCATGGACAAAACATAATAAGAATATGCAGTTACACTGCCACCAGCGAGGATGGATGTGCCCATTTTACCATCTCGCCAGCACTGAGTCTCGTCATCTGGCTAAATTTTTGCTAATTCGATAATGAAAAAAAAAAACAGCATTTTGTTTTAGTTGGCGTTTCTTTGATTTCTAGCAAAGTTTTAACACCTTTTCACGTTACGCAGTTGTATTTCCTCTCGTGGATCGTCACAGTGTCCTTTATCTACTGGGGTCTGATAAATTTGTATGAGCTCGTTATATATTAAAGATATTAAACTGTTGTGCGTCATTTTTGCTTCACGTTGGCCACTTTTTACTTCGTGTGTCGGGTGTGTGCGTTCCTGAGATTTCACCTTACGTGTAGGCAGTCCATTTCCTCACTGGGCACTGTGCCCACTAGACGAACACAGGCAGGCAGGTGTGCTTTGTCCCTTTTGGTCACGGCTGTCTCATCGCACCTGTAGCCGTGCCCGCCCGGGCACAGCGTACGTACCCTGTAAACGTTCTCGGACTTGGGCAGACGATGTGCTGGGCGCTGGGATCCGCGGTGGCTGCGCCAGGCCTTGCCGAAGTGCCTTGGACCGAGAGCAGCCCTCCCACCTTTTGGTCTCCAAACCCCTTCGCACAGGTAAAAACAGAGCTTTTCCTTGTGTGGGTTTTGACAATATTTACTGTCTTATAAATAAAAATGGAGAACGTTTTAAGATAGTTTCAGTGAACTCATTACATGTTAACATAAATAGCATATTTTGATGAAAAGTCTCAAAGTTTTAGAAGAATGGCATGGCTTCAGATTTTTGCAAATTTCTTTAATATCTGGCTTAGTAGACAGCTGGAGTCCTAGACCTGCTTCTGCACATAGTCTTTGGTAAGCTCCCATGTCGCGCAGCCTTCGAAAAGCTCCACTGCGCACTCATGAGACAGCAGAAAGGCACGGGATGGCTCGATGTCACTGGAAACCGTTTGCCTCTCAGGCCCCAGAAAGGGCTTGCCCGCCGGCCTGCCCACCGTGGGAACTGCCGTCTGGAAGACCGGATGAGCTGCCGGCCCTGCAAACGTCCTCATCTGAGCCCGCGTGGTTCTCTCGCTGCTTGCAACGTCAAGGTCTTTTCAGAATCCATAACCAGTTCTGGAATTAATTGCGTGTAGCATGAAGTGAGGCCCTAAATACTTAAAACAAATGTCCTGAGCTCATAGGGACCCTTTCCCTGTTTGATGTGTGTTATTCATTGCATTGGAAAATCTTACCTATTATAGGGCCGACTTTTATCTATCGACCCATTTATCTTTAAAAAGTGATTTTAGTTTTCCAATTTGTATTCATATCAAGCAAGGTTCTTCCTTCAAGTTTTCTTTGCTGTTCTTACCAGATGAATTAAAAAAATTAATTCTAAGATTTTCCCGAAATGTCGGTAGCAGGTGCAGGGCTGGAAAGGTGTGGATGCTTTGGGGAGCCGTGTGCAGGGCGGAGGGCTATGGGACCGGGTGGCCCCTTCCCACCCCAGAAGGCCCCCCTCCTGCTGTCTCACTACAGTCTTCTCTACAAATGCTGGTTGCTTTGGGAACGGGTGAAAATCTGCGCCTGTTGGAAGAGTCTAGAGAGCTCACAGTGCCCTACTGGCTCACCCCAGGGTCGACGCGGACTCGGCCACCCACGCTGCCCGGGGGTGGAGGTAGGCGCTGTGGCCCTCCAGCCAACCTGACTGTGTGGTCCAGTTTGAGGCTGGAGACCGGGCTGCATCCTCAGTGAGCTCCCATGACCCCGATCTGGCGGAATCCCACCCTGAGGGGTCTCCGCCCAGTGGGTGGTGGCTCCATCCCTACTGTCCTCAGGCCAGGAGCCTGGGTGTCATTCTTGCCTTATCGCTTCATCACACCTGCTCCATTCCCAAGGCCTCCAGATGCTTCTCCCAAACCCCTCTCCGCCTGGCTCTGTGTCTGCCGCCACCCCCTGCGTCACCCCTCCTGCCTCCCTGTCTGTGCTCTTAGCCCTGTGTTAAGACAAGGATCAGATAGTCCTCCCTCAGAACCCTCCCTGAACAGCCAGGCTGGGTTAGGGGGCCTGGCTGTGCCCCTACGTCCCCACGCGCACCCCAGGCTCCCACCTACTGAACATTGTCACTTTACGTTCTTACTGAGCTTACACCCCACCCCCCACCCCGGACTCTGTTCTCCTCGAGGGCAGAGCTGATCAGCGGGCCCAGTACCTGGCCCAGGGCCTGGCAGAGAAGCTGGCAGAGAAGCTGCCTGGAGGTCCCATCTGAGGTCGACCAGAAGGACCGCACAACGGACAACAGCTGTGAGTCCCAGGCCTACGCCACACGGGCCAGCCACGACTGCCTCCACGTGCTGTGGGGTGGACGCTGTCCTAGAGGCCAAAGATGTGATGGGGAGACAGAGACTTGGCCCCACGACAAACCACAAGCGCACACATGCGTCGCACAGGCGAGGGGCTCCGGCAGGTGCAGGCTTCACGCCCAAGCGCTTGGGCGTGCAGGTCACCGAGCAGACGTCAAGGCCCGTGAACAGGCTTTATTAGGGGAGGGGGTTAGCTAACACATAATGAAAGCATCAGTCTTAAGTGTACCATCCGAGGAGTTTTGAAAAACGCCTGCACCGTGGTAGCCCACGCCCCTGTCAGGACGCTGGACGTCACCACCCAGCAGTCCCCGAGGGCCGCTCCCCCGTCCTGAACACACTGTCAGTCCTCCGGGACACAGAGATACTCTGCAACTTCTTCTTAAAAAATGATAGTCTTAACTCTTAGATGTAGGACTCTGATTCATCTCGAATATTTTGTGGGTGACACGAGGTGGAGTCAAAATGTGTTGTGTTTTTTTTTCCCATCTGGATTTCCAATCGTTTTAGAACCACTTGTCGGAAGACTTCCTGTTTCTCCACTGGACCGCTTTGGTGACTTTGTCTAAATCAAATGACCAAATATGGTGGGTGGACTTCTGGCCTCTATTCTGTTCCATTAATCTTTTCGTCTGTTCCCATGCCAGCACCATGCTGTCTTGATTACTGTGACTTTGTAGCAAGCTTTGAACTCGAGAGTGTAAATTCTGCAATTATGTCTTTCCTTTTCGAGACTGTGTCGGATGCTCTAGGTCTGTGCCGCAGGTCACCAGACACATGTGGCTATTTAAATTTATTAAGATAAAGTAACACTAAAGATTTTGTTCCTCAGGTTCAGTAACCACGCTGAAAATGCTCGATAGGACATTTCTATTGTCACAATACATTTTCGGTCCTTTGCAATTCCATATAAATTTTAGAATCGTGATTATCAGTTTCTATTTAAAAAGCCTGCTGGGACCATGGCTGGGAAGAAAGTAAATCTGCAGATTAAAGGGAAATTAAATCTGCGGATTAAAGAAATTAAATCTGCAG